GCGACTATTGGGATCCTCATCTCCATGTGCGCGTCTTTCCCACGACGACTAGTGCACTGGAGGATGCAGCCTGCATGGCGGCACCAAGTCAGCCACCCAGCCCGCCACCTAGGCATGGCCATGGCAGGTGCATCAGGTGAAGGTCGCCGTCTTGGGAGGCAACGAGTACGTACAGCCATATCGGCGATCCTCATTCAGGAAGAGAAAAAAAAAACAAGATTGCGGCCAGGATATCCAGCAAGATATCGACTCTCGAACGTCTATATAAGGAGGTCAACGTCGCCCTCAACAAACACAATTTCCTCTTGCTCACCATCCCAAGCAACAATCTCAGCAAGACTCATATCTTCACTCACTCAACAATCTCTAATCTATTTCCAAAACAAAACCAACTCCCTTTCAAAATGCAGACCACTCTCTTCGCTATCATCGGCTTCGTTGCCACCGCCGTCACTGCTATTCCCACTGACAACACCACCCCCGTCAACCTTTGCCCATCTTTCCTCTACAGCTCTCCCCAGTGCTGCGCTACAGATGTTCTCGGTGTCGCTGACCTGAACTGTATCTCTCGTGAGTAGCCTCTCTTCCCAGTCTTATTATTCCCGATACCTACCAGCCAATGAAGGTCTAGTGATGAAAAGAACTCTTCAACTAACATGGTCGATTTAGCTTCCGCTGTCCCTTTCAGCGTCTCCAACTTCCGCGACATCTGCGCCCTCGGTGGCAACCGTGCCCGCTGCTGTGTCCTCCCCGTCGTAAGTTCACATGAAGCTAACATTCGAAATGGCTATCATACTAACATACTGTCAACAATAGCTTGGCCAGGCTGTTCTCTGCCAGACCCCCCCTGGACTCGGCGAGCAGTAAATGCCTGACACCCCCTCGACAGTTATGGAGCCAAGATTGCCCTACTTGTAATATTCGGGCAAGACGGTATATAATGAAGGAGGTTGATCTGATGGTTATGGAGTGAAGGAGTAATTTTGGGATTGGATTTTCTTGGTGATGCTGCCTTGGGACATTGGCTGAGGTGTTCCCTTGGCCAAAGCCTCAGGACACATGCGACCAGGATGCATAGTTAGCTCAGAAAATCTTGGTCTATGGATAGCTTCTTAATGAAATTGTTTTGATCAAACACTTTCCCTTGACCCAACTTTATTTTACTTCGTGCTAGCCAATGAGTGTAATGATTAACCACAGGATGTCCATCTTTACCTGGTGCCATTTAGCCGGTTCTCCTGATGAATCCGCAATGCCTGCTTAATACTCAGTTCTCATCGAATGACAATGTATGCTAGACGGCCTACCAAGCGTGATTAACGTATATTCAAGTTATACGTGATGTTGCCCGTTAACCCCGTTCCCCTTTTCAGCTATCTCGGCCTCCTGCTTTCGAGGTCAGCTTTCAGCCTCGACACACCTGTCGAATGAAAATAGGAGAAATGCGCCAGCGGCTAAGACAATGAGTAGCAGGCAACTATTTCATCCATCACAAGTTAGTCCTTTCATTCCAGAGTAAGCAAGCCATGTGGCGAGCATATGTCTATTTCCCCACGTGATTTATCTTAGTCATTTATCAAGCTTTGGTCTGAGATAGATGATGGGATGGATTCTTCCAAGCGCGGACTATAACCGGTCAGGGCTGCAGCCACACACCTCTCAACACTAGGTAGGTATGTCCATCGTTAGCATCCAAGACAGATGACATACTGTGCTCGTCATCGCGCATGCATATGCAACCGCCTCTTTTGAGGTCACTCGCCCCCCTACTTAGACTACTACTGCCCCCCAACTGGATGGCCGCGCCATATACTATCGCCCGGTCTGTTATAAAGTAGTAAATCCACCACCAAGCCACCGATGACCCCTCCCATGTAATAATAAGGCTGCTGATACGCCCTTCCCCAACCCCCTAACGATCACGTCAGTCGGAGCAGCCACTGAAGTGCCCCCTATCTCCATTTAGAGTCCCATTAATAGAGGTTACACAGAGGCGTCTAAGTCACTCCAGGGAAAGTCTCCATATCACCTGTAAGGATGGATATAAGCAAAGGAGACCTCTCATTTTCGGGCCATTAGTCATCAAGAACATCATTACACATATACTACGAAGTAGCCTACGCCCTACAGTCTTCTAATGCGATTCACCTTTGCTATTATATATCAAGTACCGACCAGCACCAATAATTTTCCTCTCCATCTACAGGTAGAACTCAACACGTCAACCACTTATAACGAGACTTCCAGTAGAAGCCGTAATCGAAGCCCGTATACAAGGCCAGGCCCCAGTCTATCTTGGTGCCTTTGTGCAGTATAACCTCTACTCCTCTGTTAGACTGCTGTTGCGGCAGTCAAAGTCTAGGTTATATCCTGTCTTGTTGTTTCCCAGAAACCACCAACGGGTGTCCTCCCCCAACAATATGGAACGCTCCGTTTTCTCAAAAACCAGCGGTGTCATGATAACCCAGTACCATCAAGATGGGACAAGGCTAAGCAGTCCTCTAGGGAAATTACTCGAGGTTGCGATTTTGGCCTCTTCGGCTTTGCAGACCACCATACCAGCGTCCTCTGAAGAATAATACCTGCAACGAAGGCGAACCTGAAGTAAAAACCATACGAAAGATGCCGCGTCATTTCCTGGCGAATGGCGCAATTCTCCAAGACTGCCACACTCTCCAAAACATTGGGGGACGACGTTGATATTATTAGTTCCCCGAGCTAAGGCAAGGCACAGTTTACGGAACGTCCCGCCCGCATCAGTACCTAAGGTAGTGTGCTGCATTCCGCGATGACGAAATCCCGTCCAAGTAGCTTGTTTGTTCTGCCGACGGCTCGGTGGGGATTAGTGGCATACCAGCAAAGACACTACGTATTGGGTATATCACGGCTTTTATGCACCCACACAGACAGGGATAATAGTCCACACCTCCTATATAACCACGCGATATAAGCAGTTATAAACAGGAGAGACGATTTTTTTACGAGCCTGCCCCATATCAACCAAGATTTAAAGTTTTCTGATGTACTGGCTGCTCGGCGTGGGTTGGAAGCTTGGAAACAAGCCAAAGAGTCATTGCGGCGTGGTGGGGCAAAGCCATTCCCCGTCACGGCAATAGGGGCGGATTAAGCAGTGTTGCCCAAGATGGAATTATACCCCAAAAAAACAGGTTGTGCGATAGAAAGAGACGATATAAGAAATAAGAGAATAGTATAACGAGTATTATTTATGTTCCCCAATGCCCTGTTGAAAGTATATTATCTTAACATATTCCAGGATCAAGAATGTAGAAAGAGGGCAAGCCAACTATGCGGGGACCTAGGCTGATCACTACAAACCTATACGTCCCTTTCTAGATCTCGACACCGCCAACGAGAGGCCTGGGATCCCTCTGGAAATCAAGTTCTTGGTAGTACTCGCTTTCTCAATGCTGTCGAATTCTACGCGCCCTAGGTCAGGGACCAGGGCCACCGGAGGACAGAAGCTACTCCTATGGGTCTGTACTATCGGATACGTCTATATAAAGGACCAACTTCTCCCCTAAATACTGGGAGGAAGAAGGTCAGGAATCAATGATATTGAGCCCTTACCTATACACTTCTATCTACTAGCAACCTGCCCGTGACTTACCTTCACTCTGGAATATCCACCCCTGACACCCCAGGAAAACCTATTCCTGCTAGCAGCGATGAGTGAGCCTTAAGTGAGCTAATATGTAGAGTTTCATGCTGATTAGTACGATTCTTAGTATATTTTGGTAAAAAAGGACTGGGCAGCGTTGAGTTAGAACTGAAAAGGCACTTTTATACCAGTAAACCGAGTGGACAGGTGTCAGGTACTTTGCATTTTGCCCTAGTGATCATATACCACAATCAATCATAGGAACATTGCCGTTTAGGCCATAAGTCCCACATGAGACATGTCTATATTGTGCTCTGATAGAGAAGCTATAGAACAACTAGACATAGCATTATACTCGAAGTAGAGCCCATGGTTGCGATTTAGATTTCATTGTAATATTGGATCAAAAGACTTCATGATTTTAACTCTCGGGATCGGAATTGTTCTAGCCACGCCCGAGACTCGTGACGCTTGATAGTTTCAGTCGAGCTTATCCTACTGAGACTAAACAGTGGTCATGTGGCTAGTTTCCGCGCAACAATTGGGGAATATGAACATTCTACCTCCCTTTCCAAACCTACCGATTAGCAAACCTCCCAGTATACTGTGTTTCATCACTCTAGCCTCCTCTGCACTCACATAACCTAACGCCACCATGTTATATCCCTGAAGTGAAGAAAAAAAAAAGTGGCATATATGTATATAGGCGGGTGCTCGTGAACATGGAAATTATGTCACAGTCCCCATATATAGACTGCAGACGAGGTCAAGCTCCCGACTTGACTACGTTCTCTCTTTTGGTAGTGTTACGGTATGGTGCTGCAGTTCTGTTCCGTGACAAATTAGAATCACTCACACAATAACGTCAGTCGTAATCTATATCTGTATTTAACCATTCGTGGTACCTAACTGCATAATCACCAATAGAGTGACCGTACTCCTTCCCACGAGTCAATCATTAAGGGGAAAGGCATAGAAGTGGTACAATGGACCCCTATCACCAATATACCTCTATTTTCGCCAACATTGTGTTGTTGTTGCCTGTGTTTGGCTTTTCGGGATACGATATTTCAAAGTTGATATCTCTATGGCTTTAGGTAATTACCAGGTGATTATTCCGCACGATTCAACAGACATCCTTCAGAGTGACACCACCCTGCATATTGACGCGCGCTATTTCAACACACCACGTGCCTTAGACGCGTGTCTCTAATTCCGTAAATTGAAACCGCCTCTTTGTATAGGGAAGCTGCACCGTGCTCCTATCCCCCTTGCCTTATCAGCTGTAACAAGCTATATGTCTATCGAACGATCACATGCATGTCCACAGGTGGCACAGGGCACAGAGTGCATCTATACTCTGTTTCACACAGCACCTGATGCCCATTTAGAGCAGTGGTTAGCTCGCTCGCCTCCGGTGCTCCCTGGACAGCGAGAAGGCAGGGGTTCGAATCCCCTAATGGGTGATGGTTTCTTTTTACCTTCTTTTGTCGATATTTATATATATAAACTATACATATATATATCCTCGTCTGCATGTTTCTATTGTCAGCCATTTCGGGATTGCTTCCAAATGTAGGTAGTCTTTACTATATATACGATAGATAACCTCCTTGTATTCGTTGCCACTTGGCAAAAACCTCAAAGTGAGGCCGGATATGACTCGCTGTTCTGAATGGGAGAATCAAGTGTCGGCTTCGAGGAGCTCGTGGCGTTTTAAGTACTCTAGCTAGGCGACTTTGTCAAAGATGGAAAACGCCTACTCTCTCGACGAGGCTGTGAAAACAATGTGTAGGGAGACTTGTAGGAATAATAGTACGTTTAAGCAGTATCGGGATCCCAGAGGTCAAGGTGGAAATATATCATGAATATTCAATGTTGCGTGAGAGCCTCGGATATTTCTCATAGGTGATAACCGTTCACAATATACTAAATGCATTTTTCTAGAGAGGCGGTATCACAATAAGTAGTTTGTAGAATATCTCAAGTGTCATGGGCGAGTTGGCAGGAAGTACGCCTGAGAGTTTGCTCGGAGGAATGTGCGATTTCTATTTGGGTCCTCTAGAATAGTTTCTTTGTCAATTCCGTTAAGATTTGAGACCGTGGGGGTCGCGAGGGCGCAGTATGTGGCTAGCTACCTGGACGACCATAAGTGTCCGGAGCATTCACTCATATTTGGTAGAATTATTGGAACTACCTACATGCAGGAGCCTAGAGCTTTGGCATATGGACAGGGGAAGTTAGTAGAGGTATAGAATAAGAGACTCTTTCGGGGGAGGAAGGACAGGACTGATTGCCTCGTTGTCGATATTCCAGGATGTCTTCAGAACGGATATCAAGGCTGCTGCATGGGGATCACATATGTAACTAGCAGTATCTTGCCGCTTCATTGAATTCATACCCGAAGCTGGGGGTAATCGCGCAGACTCAATTGATTTAGACCGACTTCATAGTCACCAGCACACTATCTGGGCAGAGATGCGGTTTCACTCGATGTTGTGCATCCAATGGGGGTGGGGGACTGGTCCTTCAATAATCTAACCTAATCAATATCCAAATCAATATTCTATGGGGGTATACGAAATGCAAATGAACCTTTTCTCTAAACCTCGTAAACCGGCCACGGATCCCGCCCTCATACCCCCTTCCCCGGAAACCTCATCAAGGATATGCCTGGTGAGCTTCGCCCACGTATATCCATTGATGCGGCATGCAGCCGGTGTATATCTGGATAATTCTGGTCTAGTGGAGATGAAGGTTGGTCTATAATTGCCTGTGTGTGTCTGCGCGGTCGCGGGTACGTTCCGCTCACGCTCATCTTCCTCGGTCGCATCTTAGGTGGGGGCGAGGATAGAGGTGTGGTCGACTGGGACGATGCGGAAGAGGTAGAACCAATGGATATATCGGAGCCCCTTGTGTTGCTGAGAGAGAAGAGGCTGGGCCGCCTCATTGATCGCCGGCTCTCTTCTTCGAGACGTAGCCCTTCGCCAAGCTCTGAGAGGATATCTTGAGCGGATCGCCGCTTGTCGCCTTGTTTGCCTAGTCTCCTCTCCCACCACCTTCTATCCTTCCCGGGCGGTGAATACTCAATCAGCGTATCGAGGGCCTCTTCCACCTTCTGCATCTTCTCGTCCGCTAATTTCAGAGGGAAGTGCTCCGAAGCAAGCTCTAGAAGTGCGCAGGCGTCCTGCGCTTCTCTGCGCTTGCTTGCATCCGATTCATGAAGGCCACAGGCGTCGGCCTTGAAGACAACAAGGTCTGGAAGGGAGATATAGGGCAGTTTTTCGATGTCCCCAACCAGCTGAGCTGAGCTGGGTAAGTAAGGGCAAAGCCACTCAGGCGTGATCTTCAGCTCGACTGCCCAGCCAGCCGGATGCCGGAAGAAGATGGCTTGGCCTTTTTCGACGATAGTCCTCTTCCCATGAGCATGAGAGAGAAGCGTCTTCTTCACGAAACCTGGTGATGCCTTGTTGATGACGAATTCTATACTCTAGCGGACCCAGTTAGCACTCAGCGCCTTATTCAAACTGTGTTATCTTCGACGTACTTCGCAGGGTCTCGGTTGTGCTAGATACTTCCAAACAGCTAAATCACCCACAAGGGCAAGTCGGACGTTGACGAGCTCAGCCACACCTTGCATGAGGTGAACGACCGCGAGAGCGGCGGTCTCCAAATCGACGATGGACGGTCGGGCCATACCTGAAGACGAGTGCGGCATGTTCAGAGGAAGATGGTAAAGCTGGTTCGCCAATGAGCAAGCATCATGGCCGCGTCAACAGCCATTTCGACTGGTTTTAAGTCAATGCCAGAGGCCACGGCCTCCAAAACTCAGTCTGAACCTACTAAATTGGGCTGGCGTTTGATACCTAACGTGCCTAACTAGGTAAATTCGGCACCCCGAAACAGGGATCATGGCCAATAGGACGCCGGGGTCAGCTATATTAATGTTATTTAGTCTGGTCTCTGTTGTACACTACCCTCAAGGGCGGGTTGTTGTTCCCCCTTTACTGCCCCTGTAATAACGATTGTCATAACTGTCAGACGATCCTCCGAGGGAGGTCGCAAAGCCGCCGAGTCCTTCAGGAATCTGCAATAAAAATTTTCTGTGCCTCGAAATAGATAAGTATTGGGAATTGCTTTGCACAATGCGACGGGGTTGATTGATTGATGACGGAAGACGGGCTGACGAATTGTCACTCAGCGTGGCTGGTTCGGGAAATGAACAGACCCGCCGAGACCAGGACAAGCCGTGGACGTTGGACGCCAACTCGCAATGGGCTTGCGAAAACACGTAGGGAGTGTAGAGCGACAACAAACAGGTAGCGCGGAGGACGCGGATGGCACGCTTCATGTGCGCCGTCACAAGAGATTGCCATACCGGACATCTCTTCATCCGGACTTTAAACTTTCTTATCGTGAGTTCACGTATTGGCCATTTTGGCGCTATTCGCATCATACACTCGTTACACTCATTCGCAATCTTGGACCTTGCAACAAAGCAAATTTCCCATGATAGAGAAGCCGTAATTCGTAGGCCCTGGTAGGACTACATAGGCGAGAGGTGAAACGTATTGAGACGTTTTGTGAGCAAACACGGCCGTCATACAGGTGTATCTCTGATGCCACGTCCTTCATTCCAACGCCGTGATCCCGCCCGCGACAGATTCGGGCGAGGGGATGTCCCTTGCCTGTGACTTGGTACGCCTAAGCATAGGTAGATCGGATCGCCGCTGGCTTGACCGCTTCGCATTGACGACTAAGGGGGCACACGTAGGTATCTGACTCATTAGGCGCAAAGGGCATCGTCATATCCGTGTCCATCCCATCATAGATCACTTTAGGTATATCAAAGAAAGCTTAGCGACACATGCCGCGGTCGCCTTTGGCATGCTTTCCATTTTGGGCTCGCGTAATTGGACAGTTGTATCATTGTACATGATTCAAGCCATCTTCCACAGCCAGTCGACTCGCTTGGTGATTTATTGTTATGACGCAGCGTCAACGCATCGTTCGAGAATACCTGGGTTTAATGTTTAGGTTCTGACTGCGGGTACTTCCGGCTCACTAGGGACCGTGGCGTATGGCTGTCCGTGTTGTCCCGCTATATCGGTCATTTAGCCAAAGTCTCATCGGTGAGCTCTCAATCACCAATAATACCAAAACGTTTATGAGCTTGTTCGTGGTCCATCAAATCGTGTGTCTATCAACGGTGGAAAGCATCCAAGTCAGGAGAAAAGAAGCCACTATATATAAGACCCCCGCGAGTGAGCGCTCCGAACGAGTTCATGAAATGAACTTACACAGATGTCTCTCTACGCGTGGGCTCAGCTCACCATTTCACATGTGATGTGAGATAGAGAGTCAAGAATGCTTGAGCAGTTTCACGAGCTTAGGTTAATGTTTACCCATTTGAATACCTGATGTGATCGACTGACCAACGACGGAATCTCAGATGAACTCCAGGAGTTAGTCTCTTATTATCAAGTCAAGATGGCTCCGTCCGGAGCACCGCTTAACAGATCGTAGGTGAGTTCCTTCACGTTAGGGCCTTGGCAAGGTCGATTATACGATTTTTTTCTCGTAAATGGGTTTTCCATTTAATGAGACGCCACAAGCTACAAGCCATACTCTAGCTAAAGTCATGGCGTTCCGCTTCGTCGCCTCCACTGTGTATCTAGTGTAGACTGGGGTATCTCAATTGACGGAGCACAACCATATAGGGCCGTTCTCCAATCTAGTACAGTACAGTACTGTAGGTCCTCGTCTCTCTGCGTAGGTATCCCCATTGGTCCCCGCGCTTCACTACTCGCTTTAGCTTGCTGACATGATCATGCTGGGGCTAGCGAATTTCCCTGCATGCACTCCAACGGGCAGACAAATGAGTGCAAATGGATCTGACGACAGAATAGGTCTAGGTAGCAATGGTTCTTCGATTGCATCTAGACTCGAGTTATGGGCGAGAACCTGACAGTGGAGCAACATCAACCAATTCATCTCGTACGAACAGACCGTGCGTTTTAACCGATCCAGTAAGACCACCCGATACGACATCGTATATGTTCCAATACGAAGTCCACAAGAGGTGGCTTTCGTGCTCTCTGGTTCGCGCGCTGTCGGCTGTGGATATTTAATCGTGATTGGATGGCATGCTCGATCTCCTCAATGAGCTTCGAGAAGATATGTCTTATATATTGGCTCGCTTAATTGTGACATTAGGTAAATGGGGGAAAAAAGAAGCACCGAAAACGGAACAAAACAGTTTTGCCAACGTTCGTCCACCTCCTGGCACCTTTTATAATATAATGGCTAGGGAGCCGGATCGAGATGTTTCTATAGACGCGCACGCATTGCTGCTCTTCGCAACACTGCCTTCCATATCGTACCCAATCCTACCGATTATCTAAAGCCTGCGTTTCTCTACGCTAGACTCGTTCATAATGAAGAGTGTCTTAACCCTCATCTCTTG